AAATGGGAACAATCATATATTTATCTACCCTTAGCTTTGTTGGAGACTAAGTAAAACAATGTGTATTGCAAACGCCACACTCAGAGCCTGGCATTGATTAGTGCTGATAAACAGTATTTTCTCTTCTCTCCTGGAGGACATTCTAGGATTTAGTGATGTGAGGACATACACAACCACAGCCTTTTGCTTAAGCAAAGGGGCTTTGGGATGTGGATCTGGAAAGAAGACACAGAGTTGGGGGTCTAGCCTGTATTCACCGTGTTTACTACTATCTCATCATGCACCTACACAGCAGCCTTAAGAAGAGCAGAACGTTGGTCAACAAATTCCCAAGTAGGCCAACTCTGTAATTTCAAGGAACAATTACGTTAGCCCTGAGCTCAGGGCAAACCTACATTCCTATAATTTATGAATGTGCAAAAGAGAAAAAGTATTATCTCTTGCACACATTATTATCCTTTTTTTCAAAAGATTTTATTTATTTATTTATTTATTTATTTATTTATTTATTTATTTATTTATTTAAGACACAGAGAGAGAGGCAGAGACATAGGCAGAGGGAGAAGCAGGCTCCATTCAGGAAGCCTGACGTGGGACTTGATAGGATCGAGTCTCCAGGATCACTCCCAGGGCTGAAGGCAGCGCTAAACCGCTGAGCCACTGGGGCTCTCCCTACACATAATTAACCTGTTAGTGATGGACAAGTAGGACACCTACTCCTAGATACCTTACGCAAGTAATTCTATGGTGGCAAGAAAATGTAAAATTTTTAAAGACTAGGTTGAGAAATGGTTAAAGTAAAATTCCAAAACTGAAAATTGAAAAAGAAGTAGTCCCTTGGTCTCTGAAAAAAAAATCTAGAAATAAAAAAGATCTGGACTGTTTACAGACTTAGAAATGATAGTCACCTCTTCCAGTTGGGGGTTGTATAGAATCCAGGTTTCAGTTCTGCAGTTAACACAAAAGTGAATTAATCTGTGAGTTTTATAGGACTCCCAAGGAGACCTTTCTTCTGAGTAATTTGCCTCCCTGTACACCAGCTAAGCTATATCTACAGACACATAAGTTTCATTACTTTACCCAGGATGGTGGACTGGCTGGACCTCATAATGAATCAGTGAGGTATTTAAAAACTCCTCCTCCAGGGACACCTGGCTCAATATGTTGAGTGTCAAACTCTTGATTTCAGGTTAGGTCATTATATTGGGGTCATGGAATCAAGCCCAAAGTCAAGTTTCATGATCCACGTGGAGTCTGCTTGGGATTCTCTACCTCTCCCTCTACCCCTCCTCCTCACTCTCTCTCTGTCTCTCTTTCTCTCTCCCAAATAAATAAATAAATGTTTTTTTTAATTTCCTTCTCCATAGGAAATACATTTAGGGGATGTTGGAGTTTTAAAAATAAGGGTTTCCAGAAAAATGCCATTAATTCCCAATGGTTTCCTTATCATATTCCCCACTGACAATTCCATTGCATTTCAGAAAACAAATTCATAGACTAGAATAATCTTTGGCCATGAGGAAAAAATGTTTTTATAGCTCTATAAAATATCTTTTTTTTTATAAAATATCTTTTTAAAAAATCTTAAGTAATCTCTATGCCCAACATGAGGCTTGAATTCATGACCTTGAGTTCGAGTCACATGCTCTACCAACTGAGCCAGCCAGACACCCATTATAATTCTCTTAGATATCTTAGTGAACACTATGGGGGTCTATTTCGTTATTTTTCCATCATCTCTTCTGTTGATGTTAGTTTCCAAAAGTTTTGTACTATATTCCTATCAACTGACAAAGAAATTAGGGTCTCTGGAGATTCTGCTTGTTTCCATTTTTGAGGAATTGCCATTTGTAATTCTTTTAAGCCTGAATCCTTTGATTCTTTATAACGTAGATAATGTTTTGATAGATTGGTCTTACAGAAAGATTCAGAACCTTAAAAAATATTTATTAGCACTATAATATGACTTTTCCCTTAAGACTGTCAAACAAATCAATACAATAAGAATATTCTAACCAATTGGCAAATCATTCCTGAACACACTTGTTGATAGCAAATATTTCAATTTGGAACTATGTCAGCTTCTGAACATCTCATTTCAACATTACTTAAGGCCATCCTGGAATATATAGCCACTCTTCTCTTAAGAACGTTCAGAGAAAGTTGTAGTATTCCTGCGGAAGTGCAGTTGAGACCTTCACAGCTAAAGTGCATGCATTCATGGCAACAAGAGCAAATGGATATTGATACTGAATACATCGTTGGTAAAGACTAATAACTGTCCACTCCAGCTATGAGGATATATAACTGCAAAATCAGCTATGCAAAAATGAAAGAAAGTTATTATAAGACTATTTGATTCACTTTTTTGTTCTTTTCATAAATATTTACAAATAAATTGAGTGAATAAATGAATGCAAGAATGTTGATAATGTGCTAGACACTGCATATCACATATCCTGGTTGTATGGTAAGCAGAAGAAACATGGTTCCTGCCCTCATAAAACTTACACTATAACAGGAGAGAAAAAATTTTTTTTTAATTCCATAAACAAGCATCTTATTAAATTTCAATAACAATGCTGTTGATAAGCATTCTGACTGTCATACCAGTTTTTTGTTGTTGTTATTGTTCTCCATAGAGGACTAAAACACCTAGGAAATAATTAATAAACTGTATATAATGTCTTCTAAAAATCTCCCTGTAGGTCCATTATCTCATTCCCTAGATGGAAGTGGAAAGTAGTTATGTCATTACCTCCACCTTCCACCTTTGATATCCAATTAGGTACCATGGCTTATTGATTTTATCATCCAAATATATCTTACATTCAAGTCCTCTTCTCCATTTTTTTTAGAGAAGGGAAGAAGGAGAAGGACAGAAAGAATCTCAAGCAGGCTCCACACCCAGCGTGGAGGCTGACATGGCACTCAATCTCAGAATCCTGACTTCATGACCTAAACTGAAATCCAGAGTCGGATGCTGAGCCAAAAGAGCCACTCAGGCACCCCACCCTCTTCTCCATTTCTATATCCAAAAGCATAACATTAGTTCTCTGGTAGTCTACCACGTTGTTTTACTACAGCCCCAGAATCACAAACAGATTAGGAGATATTAAAGTAGGAAAAGACCCTAGATATCACTCTTCAGATGAAGAAACTGAGGTTCAGCGAGACAAATGTCCCACCCAGGACCCCATAGTTCAGTCTAGCCCCAGCCATGCCATTAATTTTTCTTTAGAGCAGCTAATTTGGAAGCCATAGAACACTATTCATTGCCTGCCTTTCCCAACCTCTTCCTCCTTGTTAGAAAATCCTGTTTCCCATGGTAGGAACCAAAAATGACAAGTACTTGTTTCCTAAGGATGGCCATGTGACCCAATCTTGGGCACCAAGATATAGAGGGAAGTCTCTGGCTGGTTTCTGAGAGTTTGCTTCTGACATAAAGAGAAATCAAGAAGAGCTACCAATCCCTGACTCCCTTTCTTCCTTTCTTGGAGCTGAACAATAGCAGCCTAAGGACAAAAAGCCAACAGCTGAGGATTGGAAGAATCAAAACACTTGGGACCCTCTATGAGCCCTGAGCTAACTTTGAAACTGCCTACTTGCAGACATTTTATTGTGAGACATTATTTGAAGTCTTCCCTACTTACAACTTTATGTCATATGTTCTGTAACTTGCAGCTGAGTGCACACCGAATGGCCGCTGCTTTATTTCTTTATTTTCCCTCTTTCCCTCTAAAATCTACAGGAGCAGGGAATTGACTTGTTATTTTCATTGTGTCTTCCCAGTTCCTAGAACAGAGCCTGGCCCAAAATCAGCCCTTGAGAAATATTTGTTGAATGGATGAATGTCCCCAACACCTTCACTGGCTCTCTACTCCTACGGAATAAAATCCAAAGGATTAATCTGGCATTCAATGCCCTTCCTGATCTGGCCCCAATCTATCTTTCCAGTCTTATCTTTTACTTTCACATATGCTACTACTCAGGAAAACTATTTCCTGTCCTCCCAAACACTCCCTGAGCTTTCTAATGCAGGGCTTTGGCTCAGTGTCTGGTCTGTGGAATAGGCTCCTTCCCCTCCACTTTGATACTTTTCCCTCATTCTTCAAGTTCCAGAGCTTCTCCCATAGTACCTCCTCTGATACTTTTCAGGTACAAATATCTTTTCTATGTTTTCTTTTGTGCCATTTATGCTAATTAAACATTCATGCTAATTATTTGGTGTAGTCATCTCGATTAGATTATGAGCTCCTTGGGGATAGAAAATTCACCCTCCCAAGAAACAAATATAAAGCTTTGCCCCAGTAGATACCTTAATAAATTTTTATTTATGTGTAGGAGAATAAACAACATCAAAGTGAGCCCATTTAAAAAATTATTTGGACACAGGAATTGGTGCTGACTTTCATGATTGCGAAGGTCTGATGAATTGCAGGAAGGGAAAGAAGGAGGGCAAGAGACTTGTTGGAAGTGTCAGGAGCAAGCCCTGGTGCTTTGTCTCCTGCCGATGATAGCGAAGTTCTTAATGGAAGATGATCCCAATCAATAGAGCCAGACAGCTGATTTATATAATGGAATCAAGCTGAAGCCGTTGGTCTTCCTCTGCAGAGTGATGTGAAAGGGGAAAACGCTACTAGACTAGAATAAGCAAGGGACTCCACAAGTATAGCTGCTGGTGTTCAGAAATGTGTTCCCCATCAGCAAACCACAGGAGAGCTCCAGAGAGCAGCCTTCTTGAGCCTGGATGCTGAGGATTGCCGGTGGGGCGAGTGCTGCTGCTGGATTTGGGCTGCTGCTGTCGCTGCCACTGGGCACGGACCGCAGTGAGGGGTCTGACCACGCAGACCGCCTCCCAGAGCCTGGGTCTGGCTGGGAATGAGAAGTTAAGAGAGTGAGGGCTGGGAGGTGCAAACCCAAACAAGAAATCTAGGGAGCCAAAGGAGAGCAAAGGGTGATCTGGAGCCAAGACATCAGGCCAAGTGGAAGTGGAGGAAATGTCATCATTGGTGAAGGAGGACTTGGAGAAGAAACTGTTTAAGCCACTCTCACAGAATCTCTACGAGTTTATTGAAATAGAGTTCTCGGTCCAGGACAGGTATTACCTCTGCGTGTCAGGTAATCTGTTCTTTTTGTTATCACTTCAAAATGTAAATAACTCCACAAGAGCCTTGGGTGGTAGAAGGACATTTTTGTATTTATTTTCCTGAATGGTAACAGCACGTGTATCTTCAGGTGATAGAGCTTAATTATGCCAAGTTTGGGAATTTGGATTCCACTGAATTTTATTTTCAGTGCTAAAATGGAAGACAGAAAAATAATATCGTATTAAGAATATTTTGGTGGATTGTTCAGAAGAAAACTGGGTATGTATTTTCCTGCTTTTGATTATTTTGTCTCCAAGCCTTTATTTAATTCACTTGCACGGTATGCAACCTTAATGTGTAAGAGCTCATTTTAAAAAATTCAACAGAGAGCTTTATGTATATTTTTAAATACACTGGAGAATGGAGTTATACAGCTCTATTTCCAAGAGCCTGGATAACTTAGATTCTGTCTTTTCGTGATAAGAAAGAAAAAAAAAGACCTTAGATTTTCTTTTAAGGGCTTACTTAGACTTCCTGGTGGTTTATTTTGAAAAGAGAAATGATCTTCTAAAAATTCTTTCTCTTCTAGGAAGTATGCTTGCAGAAACAATACTTTAATCATAGAAATTAGTTCATGAAGTGGGAACTTTAAGGATAAGAGGCTGCTCTCTAAACTATTTAACTAAATACAGATTCTCCCTCATGTTCTTAAAATGCACGAAAATTATCCATACGTGAGAATAGGCTTTTGCATTTAATTATGATTTGCCTAACCTGCAATGTTTGTGCTGAATTTAGACAGAAATGTTTGTGCCATTACTGAATTTAATATATAGCTTTCCCTTTTCCCAATCCATGCCTTTTACTACTTCTCAGGGGCTTAGGAGGAAAGAGCTCAGAAATTCTAAGTGTTCTTTGTGGACTTTCTTTTTTAAGGCACACACCTCAGCATTTTCAGAAAACAACTTATTATAATTCTCTTCCTGATAATTGCCTCAGAAGGACTCTAAAATTGTCAAGATGAAGTATTGTAAGGGAAGCAAAACAGCTTTAAATAAAATGGCTAAGAACTTTCAAAAATTCTATCAATTCTAATAAGAATAATATTTACTCAATAATAAGCATACTAATATTTACCTAATGCTTTACCTAGCATATGTTGCTATATAAATACAAAGTATGAGAACTTGGCGTACCAGCAAGGTAAAAAACTTAACTGGCCAGGAAAAAGAAAGAAAGCAAGTTATGGAAAAAAGTCAAATGAAATAATTTTAGAAACTATATTGTATCCTAACCACGAAATCACTATATCTTTAAGTATTTTGACTTAATATATTAGAGAAGATGCTTATCCAACATTAATATTTAATAATTTTGTTACTAATAATGATCCTCTTTATAAAGTTAGTTACTCATCATGTAACATTAGTATGCAAGTAATTTTTTAAACTTATAAAAATAAAATCCTAGCAATGTATAAATCTAACTTACCAAATATATCTTAATTCCTCTCTCCAACCCTATAATTAACTAAACTTGTCCTATATGGCATTATAAAAAAAAAGTCCCCTAGAATTAAACTTTTGGAAATGGATAATGTCTTTTTTTTCTGTTATCCCTGAGTTGTAAGAAAGATACTGTGCACGGGGGTTACCTGCTGTCTTTTTTCACAAATGACCTGAATCATTTTAACACGGATCAGAAGGTGAAGGGGTTAACATTGTTAGCATGTATGAAAGCAACTTCTTTAGGGTTCAATTTTCTCATCTGGAAAATGACCAAGGAGAGTAGGTGATCATTTTAATTAGTAAAATCCAACGATTCTCTTCTGTAAGAAGTAAGGAAGAAAAAAACAAGGTCCTCTCAGATTTGAAGAGAAAGCAAGATTGTGATATTTCAGATAAAAGTTAACATTATAACTGATACTTATTCACTAATTTTTCATAACTCTCCTCTATAACACATCCATCAATTTGAGAGCACTTATCCTAAATGTAACATCTCTTTATGACCATTTCAAGTACATTGAGGCAGAATGGTAATTTGAAATGAAGTCAATGTGATGACTGATAGACTTTAATCTGTGATCATGCTTACTCAGTAGATTTCTATTGATATGAATCCAACAGGTCATATTACAATTATCAAGGCAGGTAACTCCCGATTTTGAATGTTGGCCACCTTCACAGAGTAGAGACTGATGGTTAGAATTTTCTCTTTATATCCTACAATCTGGCAGTTCTAAATTTACAAGAACCGAAGGCTAGAGCGGCTGAATTCCATCAGGCATTTTTCAAACTAAAGAAAAGTATGTTTAGATAAGTTAAAATTTCTATTTATCTGATTAGAATCTGTCTTTTGTAGGAGTCTCACAACCAAATGACTGTGATTTACTGTATCTTGATACCTTACCTGATTGATGTCAAAAATCAGATGTCCTAAACCCAATCTCCCTTTATGTATTTACTAGGATTTACATTGAGGATTTCCTGGCACCTCAGTCTCTTCCCAACTCAGAATTTGCATGGTCATTTCTCCTTGAGATTAGCTTCCCCTAGCCTCGAACATCGTTATCCCTATCAGTTAAAAGCATCTTCTTATAGAGGATGGAGGAGCCCTTTTATACACAGGCACTAGAAAGGGATAAGTCACTTGTGCAATTATGGGTGCAAATGAATTAAAGATATTCCAAAGGATTGAAATAGTATATCCAGCATTCACCATAATTAAATGGGAAGTAGCAGGACATGCTAGAATGGATTCTAGAATGCTCGAGATCAGACATACATGGTATAGAACCTGGCTCTACTTTGTCCACCCTGCCAGCTGTGAAATTTGGGGCAAGGTAATTAACCACTCTGGCCTCAGTGTTATCATCTCTGAAATGGAAATAATAACACCCACATAAGGCACATAGTGCTCTCCTGTTAAATCCTAACTAGGAAAAAAACAAATATGATAAATTATGTTCCAAAAAAATAAAATAAGAGGTAGGATTATATTTTTAAATATATGGAAAAATTAATTTACTGTGATAACATGCTGAAATATATTTGTATAAATAGTATATACTATACATATTTATAATAAAAACAATACACACTAAACATATATAAGCATTATATTTAATACATAATGAAAATTGAAATATTGTTATACATTTTATAAATAAAATTATATGCATATTCAGATACAGATTATTTTAAATATTCTCATATACTTAGGAAAACATTTTTGTTTATAAATATTAATTTTAAAATAAATAGCATTTTCTAGAATTATGAGAATGGTATTATAAATTATCCATACATATTACATTTTATTTTATTTTTAAAAATTTTATTTATTTATTCATGAGAGACACGGGAGGAGAGAGAGAGAGAGGCACAGACACAGGCAGAGGGAGAAGCAAGCTCCATGCAGGGAGCCCGACGTGGGATTCAATACCAGTTCTCCAGGATCACACCCTGGGCTGAAGGCAGTGCTAAACCACTGAGCCACCCGGGCTGCCCCCATATTACATTTTAATGTCAGAACAGAACTTCTCTGTGAACCAGGGAATCTAACAATTTTGTCAAGCTATTTATGGTAAGAATAGTAACAATGAGAGTGTCAAATAAGAATAAATTAACAAGCCTTATAAACAACAAACATTTATTTCTCACAGTTTTGGAAACTGGGAAGTCCAAGATCATAGCACTAGTAGATTCAGTGTCTGGTTAGGACCACCTCCTCAGAGATCACCATCTTCCTGTAACCTTATATGGTGGAAAGGGCAAGGGATCTCTCTGGAGTCTTTGTATAAGGGTATTAATGCCAAATCACCTCCCAATGTCCCCAACTGCTAATACCATCACCTTTGGGGGTTAAGATTTCAAAAATAAACTTTGGAGGGGACACAAACATTCAATCTATAGTACTCAGTATAGCCCAAGAATTGATGTTATAAAAATATTTCTAGAAAAAATATATTTGAGAATTTTTAAAAGATTTTATTTATTTATTCATGAGAGACACAGAGAGAGAGGCAGAGACACAGGCAGAAGGAGAAGCAGGCTCCCTGCAGGGAGCCCGATGCAGGACTCGATCCCAGGCTCCCGGAATCATGCCCTGAGTCAAAGGCAGATGCTCAACCACTGAGCCACCCAGGTGTCCCTTGAAAATTGCTTTGTTAGTGAAATCAATAATAGTGTTCTCAATGACCCCAAGACATCATCAATATATTGAAACATTTTCACTGGGGCTTCCTATCTTTGATATCTCATGATGGTTTCTTCATATTATTTAATTTCAATGATGAAAACAATTATGTAATACTAAGATTATAAAATAACAGTCATTTGTTTATTTAAAGCATTTCTATGTAGTTTATTTGTGAGCTATTGTTTTTCCTCTATTCTGCAAAATCATATTGGTGGAATTAGCCAATCTTCTTTCCATCTAGTCTTATGAATTACAGTGACTATTTTGTCATGGTAAGAGAGGCGGTTAATGAGTGTTTCTTTTGAAATTAAAAGTGAAAATAAATGGTTGGCATGAAGTTAAGACTGTAATTCTGAAAATGCTAACTAAAATATTAATACTTGAACAGGTTATTCTGAAATTCCATTAGTCTATAGATATTACTCACTAAATCATAATTACATAATGGCCCCTCTGATGTTACTAAAACCAACTCTCTAACACTTTGACTATATAAACACATTTCTGTTTTAAGACAAGGTGATGAGTTTCCACTTTGTTGCTGCGTTAGTGTGGATATGGCCATTTAATTTTAGCTGGCAGCAGAGCCCAAGTGTGAAAATCAGGGATTGGGTCCACTCCAGCATGAGTAAACTTCTTTGACTCTTGGCTAAAGAAAATTCTTGGAGTCTCCTTGACTCCAAAGGAGGCTACTTTTGCCAAATTTGGAGTCTGTACTGTCTCTTGCTACATCATTGTATCAAAAGGTTAATTTTTAAAGTCTGCTTATTTTCTTAGTTCAGTGTCAGTTAGGACAGTAATCATTAATGTAAGAAAACTCGATAACTGGTAGATCCTACCTTCTTAACATCTCTCTCAATCCTTTATAGAACTCCTCAAGAAAATTTTCTAGAATTTAAAGCTCAGTTATCCCTTAAACTTCTTCAGTGACAACCCTCCTCCCAAGCTACCCCTCCATACACACACCTTTCAGGATAACATTTGAATTCCTTAGCCTAGCATTCTAGACCCTTCCAGACCTCTTGCCTAACCTGCTTCCTACAATCTACCCACCCTCACACTTCATGCCAACAATACCAAATACCTGTCGTGACTCAAAAGGGTCAAGTATTTCATGCTTTTGTACACATGCTGTTCCAGAAGTTCCTCTAGTCCTTTCTTTATTCTGCTCTCACTGCCCCTTACAACTCAGGTTACCCAGGATCCCTCCCTGGGTGGCGCAGCGGTTTAGCGCCTGCCTTTGGCCCAGGGCGCAATCCTGGAGACCCAGGATCGAATCCCACGTCGGGCTCCCGGTGCATGGAGCCTGCTTCTCCCTCTGCCTGTGTCTCTGCCTCGCTCTCTCTGTGTGTGACTATCGTAAATAAATAAAAAATTTTTAAAAAAAATTAAAAAAAAAACAACTCAGGTTACCCCCCTTCAAGAACCTCTCTCTGACCCCACCAGTTGGATGAAGATGTCCCTGCTCCATTTTTCTATATTACCCTGTCTGTGCCTCATTCATGGCACTATGATTATGCATTTTTTCTGAGTCCCTACCCCCTGTAATCTCAGTGAGAGCAAGATTGCTGCCTTATGGGAATTCATTTTTTTTCATGCCTCCCACAGGGCTTTGTACAAAAGGGAAACTCTAATATTTATCAAATTAATGAAATGAATCAGCCTATAGGCAATTGGCTAACTATCATAACATGTAGATGAAGCAGAGGAATTTGCTTCAGATTACATTTTCACATAGTATCCAATTATTTCTTCCTATACCCATTCTCTCCCACACTCTAAGTAGCTAGTGAGACAGCTAAGTCAGAACAAGAACATTGTCCTTTGGTTCTGAGGTAGAGCCTTTGTCTGAACAGATACAACTGCCTCCTAATGGAGGGAACTGCCCTCAAGGTCTTGTCCTGAATAAGTCTAACAGAATCAACTCCGCCTCTACTTCGACACTCCATGCTTCCTTCCTAATAGCTTCCTTTCTAATCATTTCCTCTTCCCAAAGCTAACATCTAGACCAGTGGAAATGAACCTTTCTTAGAGCTGGAGAAATGCACATAGGCAGAAACCCACCAATTTTTGCAGACAATTTTAGGAGACTCACAGACTCTGGGACAGTTTTTTGAGACTGAGTTAAGATCTCCTGTCTGAGTCCTCTCAAGGACATGCCCTGCAGTCACTCCCTTTGTCCCCCAGAATATACAATCCCTCCTCTTGCAAACTCTTGGAGTATGTGATCTAAATCATAGCCGTTAGTCTTTTCCTATTTTTTGTTTCAATCCTACCTAACCCTGGAACTGGCACACAGTATGCACTCAGTATTAGTGCAGAAGGAGTCGTCTACAAGATGTCTTCTGCCCTCACCATTCCAGAGAAACTGCCCTCAGGAAAGAAATCAATGGTATTCCCTAAGTCAGATTCAGTGCCAGGTCTGAACTCTGCTTTCTCCAACAAAGTGACTTCACAGGATGGTTTCCAAGTTTTAAAATTCTCTGTCCTCTTGATTTCCATGGCACTGCATTGTTGGGTTTGTCTCCTCCCAGACCTCTCTGCTGGCACCTTTTTCTTTTCTGCTCCGTCTTGCCTCTTTCCTCTGCTCTTTTCCCTATAAACTTGTCTTGGAAAACTGTTCACACAGAAAAAGCTTAATTCTGTATCTCTACTCCTAAATTATAAACTTCCACCTCCTTCTCTTCTGAGATCATTTATGGATACTTTGTCTGTATGTCAAAAACTAAACTCATGGGGTGCCTGGGTGGCTCAGTTGGTTAAGTGTCTGCCTTCGGCTCAGGTTGTGATCAAGCCCCCGCATCGCATTGGACTCCCTGCTCAGCAAGGAGTCTGCTTCTCCCTCTCCCTCTGCCTCTCCCTTCCTCCACTTATGCATGCTCTCTCTCTCTCTCCCTCAAATAAATAAATAAATAAATAAATAAATAAATAAATAAATAAAATATTTTTTAAAAGAGAAATAGGGGCACCTGGGTGGCTCAGTGGGTTAAGCATCTGCCTTTGGCTCAGGTCATGATCTCGGGGTCCTGGGATCGAGCCTTGCATTGAGCAGGAGTCTTCTTGTCCCTCTGTCCCTCTCCCATCCCCCTCCCTCTGTTTATGCTCTCTCTCTCAAATAAATAAATAAAATCCTTTTTTAAAAAAATAAATGAAAAGTAAAAATATAAATCAACCAATCATCATTGTCCCCAACCAGTTTACCCTCCATACTTTCCTGTATGGGTTTCCATCAAGTGTTGTCAATGCCTCATTTGAAATCTTACTTAGATTTGCCATGTCTATTCCATTGCTCACATCCTATGCCTAGATTACAACAGTCTCTTAAAATAAATGAGATAAAACACTTAACCACTTACTGCAAACCAGGCACTATCCTACCTCATTTATCTAGCTTATCTTTAATCTTTAAACCCTCTGAGTTTGTAGAAGTCTGATGTGTGCTTTCCAGTTTGAGCAGAAGGAGGCTTAATCTCTCTGGTGTCAAGTCATTTCCTCAGACCACACTCTAAGTAGTGGTGTCCATGATTTGAATCTGAAATGTCTAAAGCCAGAGCCCAGTAAGCCTCACTGCCTTTTCTAGGGATCTCCAGTCCTCCTTTCTTTTCTCCTTCTTCAGTGTATCTTGTGCATCCCTACTCCCCAAAAAAATACTGCTTTAACAGGGCACCACTGTACTAGCCTCCTGTTCAGGGAGGAAAGAGGATTTATTGAATATGTATTCCTGTATGAGCTTTCACTGAACACTTGACAGAATGACCTCTTAGATTTGTCAGCCTGATCAGATTCCTTGTCTATGGGGTCAAACTCACTGAGCAACTCTAAGATCAACTGGTGGCCTTAATTTCAGTATCACTTCTGCCCTCAGAGGATAATTACTCCATTCACCAACCCCAATTCTGGAGCCTTCACAGTCCATACCAGCAAGCCATCCCTTCTACCAGAGGAAGGATCCAAATATCACAACTCCTCAGTGGTTTCTGTCCCTTTGCAAATCCAGAGGCTTTCAAAACATTTTCACAGTCTTCTCGACCTAGTCAGTCCTATTGCCCACCATATCCTAACACCAACCAATCTATATAGTCCACTTTCTCTAATTCTCTTGGTGAGTCTCAGCTTCTCTGTCATTAATTTCCTCATGCTGTCCTTCACCTGGAAACACTCTCAGTATCATCCTTGCCTTCACAAACAGGACTCATTTTAAATCCTCTCTCAAATTTTATTTCTCCCACTATTCCTTCCTTAACTATTCCAATCCTCTCCCTCCTCAGAACTCCTGGTGAGCATATAGTTTGTTGCACATTGCTTATCTAGCATTATATCATAATGTATCGCTTTATATCTTCTTCACCAAGAGGACATGCCAGAGTGGTTCTTTCCAGAATGAAAAGAGAGTTCCTCAAATTCTAGTCTCACTCTTAGAGGACAGAACTGGCTTGCAACTCTCTAAGTGACATCATCCATCTTGAAAGAAGTTTCCAGATATTCAATTCCAATTGCCACTACTTTATAATATACTTATATAGCATTGTATGTCGTAACTATGTATTTTATGTGACTCATGCATGTTAGCATTGTCTCCTCAACAAAATCCTAGTTTCTAGAGGGCAGGGACCATGTTTCATCCTTGTATCACTTCTGGCATCTGTAATAGTTCTATCAGGTAAATAGCAGATTCTCAGTAAATACCCCCTTTATTTATTCACTGATAATTTTCATTTCAGGAGCTCTAACATCAAATATTGATTCTTCTGATGTGTTCATAGGAGATTAAAGATTTTAAGGCCGGGAAATTATTTCCCTCATTTTGTTCACATCAAATAAGCCATGGTTTTCTCTTGCCTTTCAAAGTATAGTACTAAAGCTTTTTGTTTTGATGGCACACTTTGAATGCTAATATTTGGAGACATGCTAAAGAAGATGAAAAATCTCAAACAAAAAAAAATCTCAAACAAAATCAAACAGGCCAATGGTAGCTATGATGCAAGCACTTGTAGGTCAAAATTCTCACAGCAACTTTAGAAGACAGTTCAGTACAGTATGTTTAGAAAACATACAGACCTGTATTTGTATGATCACTCTTCAACCCTGTGTTGCTGTGTGAGCAGAACTGTTTGCTTTCCTGACCTCACTTTCCATATTGTCATAAATTAAAATTCCAATTTGTTCTGGTAAATACTTTGGCACTGACTGTATGCTAACACTAAGCCTCTTATTTCCTGCCATGAGTCGAATCCCATTCTCCACCACAAAGCTCATAGCTGAAAGCACATAGCTCAGTGTTCCATCTGACAGAAATTTCCACGGCAGCATGTAAACACAGTTGTAGCAAAAATTATATTAACATATGGAGCAAATTAGGGAGCAACTCATGAAGGTTTAGATATGTCAGGCTTTATAATTGGGGTACAGATATGATGTAGGCTTAAACTCATTATATGAAAAGAAGGTACATAAATCCCTAAAAGTACAAAAAATAAAATAACTTGATGAATAATTTATTCTAAGAGTTCATGTAAACTAAGTGTTTTTCTGTCCTACAGTGACGAAAAATGAAGAAGTAAAAATAATTATGGTGAAACACTACAGAATAGGTTTAGATGAAAAATATGAAGTAACAAAAAAGTGGTCTTTGAACGATCTGCAGATGATTGATGGAAAAGAAGCAGATACCGTAAGTGTTATGTTTTGTAAAGGAGATGTGGGATCAATATGCTAGAAATCTTTATGTTCAATATCCTACTTCATATTATTCTTGGCATATACTGTTAAGATGACATATTGTTCTTTAGTGGTATGGGTTATTCTGCTGGGATAATCCACTGGGTTTTTTGTTCCATTTTTCTAAGGTGAAGTTTGAATTTTTGTCTATTAAATTTAAAAGCATCTTTCCCAAGAGATTCTTAACAGATTAAGAACAATCTGCCAGTCAATCCTAAAACTTTATGTGATGTTTCTACCACCACCCTTCCCCCAAGTTCCTCCATTAAATTTTGAAGATTCCTTCCTCGTTGTCATCAAACTACTGTCAGTTAGCCACTTGATCCTCCAGAAATCCTACAACCTTAGATTTGAAAGGTGGTGGGGGAGGTTTACATGCCAGTCTTTCACTTTGACCACTTGAAGAGTGCTTTTCTCAGTTTTCCCTTGAATTCTTCCACTGATGGGAAACTTTTATCATGTGAGGAAATCCATTCAATTTCTGAATTGCCATACTTTATTTTTAATTTCCTGCTATGTTTAACCAAAAATCTGTTTCACTCTAACATCCACCCATCAGTTCTGGTTTTGCCATTTGGGGCAACTTAGAAAAAATCCAGTCCTCCTTTCACATAGCAGTCTTTCCAATATTTGAAGATGATAATATTCCCTCAGGTTTTCTAAGTCAAAGGTACTCATTTTATTCTTTAAATAACTTTCATTATGAAGATCAAATAAGATAATATGATAGGACAATACAAATGCTAAGAAATAGTAGCATTGTTGTGATTTCTTTCCCATGACATTGCTACAACACCCTCACCACACTATTTTCTCTTCCCTGGAATGCTCCAGCTTTTCCAAAATTAAATACAATACTTTATAATTAGTGTGACTGGCTTGTATTTCCTTGGTTCTGAATTCTTTATTTCTATTAAACGCTTACCTGAAACTCCAAGTCTTTTGTGCATGAATTACCAATTAACCTGATCTGCCATAGCTTCTACTTACAGAGAATAAAATTTAAATTAGGGCCCTTGGTGATCTGGCTCCATTATTTCTGGTCATTCCTCCTTAAACCGTATATATCATCAGTGCTTAACTGCTGACTGTTGAGGTTTAAAATGCCCAGTCACCTCCATCTCTCACCCCATTCCCAGATTCCCCATTGGGTAAAGTCCTACTCTTGTTTCCCTTCCCCCAAAACCCCCCTTGCATTGAAGAATAAATGTTACAGACATAATTCTACAAACTGCAGTTGGCTTACTCTATCTCCCCTCCGGATGGAAACCTAAAAAACTGAGACCATGACTTTTCATCTTTTATCATAGCCTTCTGCCTTATAGATATTAAGCATTCAATAAGTATTTGTGGTTTTGCTGGATAAATTAGAATTTAAGCTTATTTATTCTTAATCCTAGAGAATACCATATTCTTAGTTTGGCCTATTGTTCCCACCTATCAAATTGTCAAATATTCACTGTAGTATGATGATGCAGATTTAATGAGCACAATATGTAGGACTTAATTCAGCAATAATAAAAATGATGAGACAGGCAGAGCTAAGTGCCATCTGGTAACCTGTAGGTAATTGATGAGTTACTATTACCACCGCTTGTAATAACGCTCCCTGCTACCATCTCACGCTTAGTAAACTCTTATCAGATGCCAGGAACCACATGAAGCTCTTTTCTTATATAATTTCACATAATCATCACAAAACCCTATAGAATTAGATTCAGTTATTACTTCCAATTTACAGATGAGGAAAATGAAACTCAGAGAGTTAATTGACTTGCCCAAGGTCACAAAGCTATTCAGGGGTGGAGCTAGACTTTACCCAGAAATCTATTAATTTGCCTTCTTTGAGCCGCTTGTTTAACATCTCTACAAATTCATATATCCATTCATTCATTCATTCATTCATCCAGAATTTGTGGTATACCAGGTTCTACTAGTCTTTGAAGATACAGTGGTGAAACAGACAGACATAAGCACTTAATTTTACCATACTTACTTAAATACTTACTTAATTATCTAGTCTGAATACCTGAATTTTGCCCTTATGATCTTTACTGAAATCAATATATGCTATCTGCTATTATCTTGATATCATCACCTAGGAATCAATCCTATTTTAAAAATTTTGCATGTTTGGCATGACTTCTTGGTGAAAGCGTGCTGGATTTCATTGCTTTTTTTCCCCCTGAGTATTCACAGAGCTTTTTTCTGATAATACATTCAACCTAAATGTTGAACATTTAGGAAATAGTTACTATTGCACATCAATATGGTAGAATGTGACACTGTCATTAAAAATCATATTTCCATAAGAATGGCTCAGGACACAATTGTTCATCATTTAGTAAGTTTTTTTTAAAGTCAGCCAAATACAAAACTTTTCTGTACTATTATCTCATTTTGCATATTTAGAAAATTTCATATTATTGGAAACTGAAATCTAAACCTTAAATTTGAATACAAAAATATACATAGGTATATGTATGCATGAATATGTATATATGAAAGAAAGCAGTATTTTGACAATAAGTATCTCTATGTGATTACATTTTCTAAGTTATTATTTCATCTTTATACCTTTATGTACTTGCCAAAATTTCTATACTGCATTGAATTTTATCAGAAATCAGTGTCAAGGGGCATCTGGGTGTCTCAGTTGGTTAAGCATCTAATTTTTTTTTAAGATTTTATTTATTTATTCATGAGAGACAAAGAGCGAGAGAGAGGCAGAGACACAGGCAGAGGGAGAAGCAGGCTCCATGCAGGGAGCCTGACATGGGACTTGATGCTGGGACTCCAGGACCATACTCTGAGCCAAAGGCAGATGCTCAACCACTGAGCCACCCAGGCATCCCAGCGTCTGATTCTTGATTTCAGCTCAGGTCATGATGTCAGGATTGTGAGACTGAGCACTGCATCAGGATCCACACTGAGTGTGGAGCCTGCTTAAGATTCTCTCTCCCTCTCACTCTGCCCCTCTCCACCTCCCACTCATGTACTCTCTCTTACTCTCTAAAAACAAAAATCTTACTGTGCTGTTTAATAAATAAAAGAAATATTTTTAAAAAAGAAATCAATGTTCAGGAATTAATCATCCCTCCCTCTATTTTCACTCATTTTTCTTTTCTTATTTTTCTCTCAAGTTTTCAAATATTACTGATGTCATAATGATTTTCTACAAGCTTGGTCAGTGCCTGGGGTTGTATTCAGCAAGCCTGTCACTTAGATTCCCTGGAAGCAGCTCTCTGTGCTCTATTTTCTCCTCACCTTCCTGACCTTAATTCTATCTCAACCTTGTTGATTCTTCCCTTTCCCGATGATCATCATCTTTGATGGTGATCTAGAAACAAAAGAGAAGTTGGGTATTTCTAATTTTCTCATCATTTTAGGACCTAAAATACTAAAGTGCCAGGGGAAAAAAAACCTGTAATATCCAAAAATCAGTTCTTTTAAATATTTATTTTCTGTGGATGAAATGAAAATATCCCAGTTGTTCTGAGAATTTCTACTTCTCTTCTTTCTTGGAATTGAAACCTCAGAAGTCAGCACTTATTATATTTTTCTCAATAGCAATGACATGGTTTTAAATAGAATAATTTTGAGCCAGAGAATTGTCAACTTTAAAATGCAATGGAATTGAAATTGAAGTCAATCTATAAAGCAGAAATCATAAGGACTGGGGATTTGGAGAGTGATATGGTATACCAGGAGGCGGAACAGTATAGCAAAACATTGGGCTGAGCTGATTGAGATCTTGGTTCTTTTTTTTTTTTAATTTTTATTTATTTATGATAGTCACACACACAGAGAGAGAGAGGCAGAGAGAGAAGCAGGCTCCATGCACCGGGAGCCCGACGTGGGACTCGATCCCGGGTCTCCAGGATCGCGCCCTGGGCCAAAGGCAGGCGCCAAACCGCTGCGCCACCCAGGGTTCCCTGAGATCTTGGTTCTTATCCTGGCTCTGCCAACTACAAGTGTGACCTGGGCTCCACCTCCGTGGAAACTATTGTCCCAGCTAAACAAGAGGTCACTGGATGATCCATGAGACCCTCTTCAAGGTCTAGGATTCTATGGAAAAAAGAACAAGAGAATGGAGAGGGAGAGAAAGAGAGGGAAAGAGGCCCTTGTATTCTATGTACATGTCTGCTCAGGCATCAATTACTAGGCTTAAAGGAGAAAAATAATCCCCTCTGAGTATCCCAAAGGGATAATGGATATTTTCTACAGGATAAGGATAAAATATTTTAGAGAAAACGATATAAAGAGCATGATTAGTATGTGGTGATGGAATGGGTGTGATTTCCTTTTATTAAGATTTCCTGCAGAAGTGTTGTTAATGCTGCAATTATGTTTTTTTTTATGATAGTCACAGAGAGAGAGAGAGAGAGAGAGAGAGAGAGGCAGAGACACAGGCAGAGGGAGAAGCAGGCTCCATGCACCGGGAGCCCGATGTGGGATTCGATCCCGGGTCTCCAGGATCGCGCCCTGGGCCAAAGGCAGGCGCCAAACCGCTGCGCCACCCAGGGATCCCAATGCTGCAATTATGACAGCCAGGAAAAATTTTGCAAAGTGTGGCTCATGGGAACACTGCATTTAAAATCACGTAACTTTTGTACATTCTTGTTTGAAAGCATTGTGGGTTTTTTTAATTTAATGATATGAAGCAAGGTAGTATTCACACCAGTATCACAACCTTTGAGGGCAGCTTTGGGAAAAAGAGCTATATTATAAACTCTACACTATGCAGTTTTTATAATTATTCTCATATACATTTCATAGCAACCATACCTAAAATGGGGGGGAAAGTAAAGGTCAGATTAGATAAGTACTTTGCCCATGGTTAACATCAGAGAGTCAAAATGGTTATCTAACTTCAAAACTCATCTTCTTTTTCCTGCCCCTTGCAAGAATTTTCCTATTTAAAAGAAAAATGCAAATGTGCAAGCTGTTTCTGTATAATGTTTACACACTACATGGTAACAAATTATTAATAGTCTGGTTTCACCTCTCTCCCCCTCCTTGTCATTTACGGCAGTGTTTACCTCCACTTCTCTTTTTATAGGATTACTTCTGATCAGTTCAACACACATTTGTTGAGAACTTAGTATTTGCCATAGATAAGCACTAGGAACACAAAGATAAATAATTCAAAACCTCTGGCCTCAAAAAGAGTTAGGGGTTAGGCAGTTAATGAATGTGGAAGCGTTTTGTAAACTGAAAAGCATTTTATAAATTCAAGGCATTGTTGTTACTGCTCTTTGTAACAGCAATTATTGTTATTTTAGCAGATAGGACCTAGATGAAGTTTGATGTCCACTTATTCTTAAAACATCTCCACTAAAAATACAGCAACAACCTAGAGCAATCAATAGAGGCAGTCTTGAGTAATTTGACACTTTCAGTCAAATGATTTAATGATTCCAGCTATTAACTTCAAAGGTAATTCTTTGCTATTAACTTGCTATTAACCAGCAAGCTGGTGATCTATAGTATGGCAAAAGCTAATCTTGCCATCCTGTGTTTCCCCCTTTATTTATTTATTTATTTATTTATTTATTTATTTATTTATATTCAATTTATTAACATATAATATATTATGGGTTTCAGAGGGAGAGGTTAGTGATTCAACAGTGCTCATTACATCCTGTGTCCTCCTTAACATCCATCACCCAGTTACCCTGTCACCACACCCCACTCCCCTCCAGCAACTCTGTTTGTTTCCTATGATTAAGAGTCTCTTATGGTTTGTTCCCCCTGCTACCATTGGAATAGCACAAGGGATCAACTTCCTAGTAAAGAAATGAAGACATCTTTTCTCCACTCCAGAAGTATGTAAGGGGATTTATTTTCTTTTTCCATCCCCATGTATCTTCTCAAACTCACTACCCTGGGAGGACTTGATAACTGTGCATTCTGAGGCATGTTTTATTTGGATAATTGAAAAGTCACAGATGCTTCCAAAGTAATCTTCCATATTATTGTTTTCTTTAAAAGCAATATGTTTAAAGCAAATAGCTTTAGAAAGTTCGTTTGTAGATTTTAGAAATCTGTTTGATACTGATACTTTACAATCAATAAGCATATGTAAGAGAATATGAGAGAATTCCCAGGAAATCTAGCTACTTTCCTGGCTACAAACAATCATGTCTCTCTTTTTTTTCTAGGACAATCCATTTTTTGATCTGCACTTCAAGAAAGTGTACAGTTTGGAAGCATATAGTTGTGCTTCTAAATATGCCTTTGCTCGAACTGTAAATAAGCTGAATCATGCATATCTTAAGAAGGACTTACAGATTGTGAATTTTGATTCTACTTACATTAATGATGATTCCATTTGGTCCTCCAACAACAAAGATTGTTTGGTTCTTATGAGAATATGCTTTTATGCTTTCAATCTAGTGTGCTTGTCCCTGTGTCCCCTGCCACTCTGAAGATGTATACCATGTTCCTTCATCAGTGTTCTATGAAAATGGTTCCCTAGATAAATATCAATAGTCATGATTTCGTTTTTTCCTTCATCAATGACTATTATTTATATGACAATAAAGTGATGCTTTGTGAATTGCAGTGAAATGTGTTTTAATGCAAATATTGCATTCATGGATAGGAAGAAGTAATATTGTCAAGATGTCTGTACTACCCAAAGCAATCTACAGATTCAATGCAATCTCTGTTAAAATCCCAACAGCTTTTTTTAGCAGAAATGGAAGTCAGCCCTCAAAATGATATGGAATTCCAAGGGTGCCAGAATAGCCAAACAATCTTGAAACAGAAGTACAAAGCTGAAGCACTCACATCTCCCAACTTCAAAACTTACTATAAAGCTACAGTAATCAAAACAGTGTGGTATTGGCATAAGGATAGCCATATAGGCCAATGGGATAGAATTGAGAGTTCAGAAATAAATCTAAACATCTATTTTTGACAAGGGTGCCAAATTCATTCAAAGAGGAAAAAATAATCTCTTCAGCAAATGGTACTAGAACAACTGGATATGCCCAAGTAGAGGAATGAAGCCCCTATCTTACACCATACACAAAAATCAACTTAAAATGAATTAAAGACTTAAATGTGAGACCTGACACCATAAAATTCCTAGAAGAAAATACAGGGGTAAATCTTCAGGACCTTGGATTTGGCAATGGATTCTTATCATAACAAAAGCACGGGCAACAAAAGAAAAAAAAACAGATTGGACTTCATCAAAATTGCTTTTGTATCAAAGGACATTATTAAAAAAGTAAAAAACAAACCTACAGTGTGGGAGAAAATATTTGCAAGTCATGTGCCTGATAAGAGCTTAATAACCAGAGTATGTAAATAACTCCTACAACTCAGTATCAAAAAGACAAACAACCCAATTCAAAAATGACTCAAATAGACATTTCTCCAAAGAAGGTATAGAATAAACACAAGAAAAGATACTCAGCATCATTAGTCACAGGAAATACAAGATAAAACCATAAGGAGATACCTCTTCACAACTACTAGGATGGCTTTAAAAACAAAAATAAAAACAGAAAATGACAAGTGCTATCCAAGATGCAGAGGATTGGAGCCCTTATATGTTGTTGGTGGGAATTTAAAATGGTACAGTCACTATAGAAAATAATTTTACATTTCCTCCAAAAGCTAAACACCGAATTACCAAATGACCCAGCAATTTCATTCTTAAGTATATACTCAAGGGAGTTGAAAACAGGGGCTTGAATAGTTGTTTGCACACCAACATTCATTGTAGCATTATTCACAACAGCCAAAATATGGAAACAACACCAATATCCATAAACATGAATGGAGACACTAAATGTGGTATATCCCTACAGTGGAATATTTTTCTGTTGCAAAAATCAGTGATGTTCTGATACATGCCACAACATAGATGAATGTTGAAAATGTGCTAAGTGAAATATCAGACACAGAAGAACAAATATTGCATGATTCTACTTACATAAAGTATATAGAATAGGCAAATCAAGAAACAGAAAGTAGGTAGGAGGTTACCAGGGACTGGAAGAAGGCAAAAATGGGGAGTTGTTGCTGAATGGTCTACAGAGTTTCTGTTTGGAATAAAGAAAAAGATTTGAAATAGATGGTAGTCCTGGCTGTACACCATTGTGCATATAATTAATACCACTGAATTGTATGTTTACAGTATGATCAAAAAGGTAAATTTAATGTTATATATATTTTATCACCATGAGAAGTAATAATAATGTAATATGCTAAAAGTCACTGAATTGTATACTTTGAATGAATTGTATGGTATGTAAATTATATCTCAATAAAGCTGTTAAAAAGGACTACATTTAATCTACTAGAAGTCTACTAGAAAAAAACATGAGTGAATTTTTTTATAAACTGAGATTGGGAAAAACTGCTACCTATCACTTAAATTGATAAATAATAAAGAAAAAAGTGATTAATTTAACTACGTAAATATAAGATGACTTTGCATGAAAAAATACTATAAAGAATCAAACAACAAATCACAAACCTGGAAAACACGCAAACATACTAATATTTTTCATAAATGGAGTTCTCTTTAACTTGAGGGGTTAAAAAAACCAACAATACAGGGGCACCTGGGTAGCTCAGTTGGTTAAGCATCCAACTCTTGGTTTCAGCTCAGGTCATGATCTTATGATCATGGGATCGAGCTCCACGTCCCACTCCATGCTCAGTGTAGAGTCTGCTTAAGTTTCTCTCCCTCTCTCTCTTTCTCTGCTCCTCCCCGCTGCTCTCTCTCTCTAAAATATATAAATAAATCTTTTTTAAAAAGACCAACAATGCAATTTGCTAAAAAATTAAGATGATATGAACAGACATGTCATTAAAAAGAATTGCAAATGACATTTAAACATATGAAAAGATGCTTAAACTTGCCCATAATAAGAGAAATTTAAATTAAATCTACAATATAACCCTGTTTCTCATCTATTAGGCAAAAATTCAAAACTTTAACAATATCTCACTGGAAGTGGAAAAATGGGTCTTCTCATTCATTGCTATTGGAAATGAAAAAGGGTACAAATCCCGTAGGAGAGGAATTTGACAATATCTTGCAAAACTACATATATATTTACTCTTTGACTCAGCAATTTATTTTTTTCCTAGAATTCTATCCAAAGATATTTTAGCAAAAATATAGAATGACACATGCACAGGCATGTGACATTGTTTACAAGAGCAAAACATTTCAAATAGCTCAAATATTCATCATTTGAATATTATAATATGTATATTATAATATAATATATGAATGGAATAAACTATAGCACAAACACATAATAGAGTACCATGCTGCAGTACAAAATGGAAAATAGTGAAGGTGCCAGGTATGCCCCAATTGGAGGCTGTTGGCATGGGGAGCTGTAGGTGGGCTAACTAGAAGTCGGGTATCCTAGGTGATTGGTTAAAGATATACATTTGGCTTTCTCCAGTAGGTCCTAAGTTAGAAGTGGGGGCCAAAATTAGGGAAGTTGTCAATTATTAATCAAGTCCAGGCCATTTGAACCAAGCTATTTGACTTTCTAGGCTTATTGTTACACATAGTAGTTTGACTTCCTGGATTGGTTATTGCACCTAGTAGGTTGGCTTCCTAAGCTGACTGCTGCAGGTTGTGGGTCAGAGTTCTTTCTCTGCATGTAGTTTGGTCACGGTTCATTTGCATATTCAGAAATATCTTAATTATGGTGGTGGTCACATGGCTATTCTTGTCAAAAATCCACTGAACTTAAACCCCATTCTGAAGTTTAGTTGTTAATAGTATCGGTAATGTTATTTTGACACAATTAAATCATGTATCGTAAGATAAAGCATATGTTATCATGTTAATGTCATTATAAACTGAGATTTCAGGTTTAAGAGAGAGAATACACAATAATGAAATCAAATAAATTAACGCCTTGAAGGAGTAAATTTAATTGGAAATATTAATATAAACTCGCCTTTTAAAAAATAAGCATGCATCATGAGCAACAAGCATCTGAGCTTTCAAGAGTCATCTATAAATGCTATTCTTTATTGAAAAGAATGTAGATTGCTTAGAGAAATTACTGATTCTAGGCCTGCGGCAGAAAATGCACAAGATGAACTTGGGACATCCCCAGATACCAGGAAGAAAGGAAGCTATCAAAGTTTATTGGTATCCGTCAAAAGACACAGGAGCCAATTTGAAGTAGCTCTCATGCCTAAGATGGAGAAATCCAAGCATAACGAAGAAAATGTCTTATAGAATGAAACACAGCAAATATACATAAGTCCATGAATTTCATAATACTAAAAATCTCATTTATCATCACTGGAACATCTGAAAATTGACAAATAAAAGAAAGACTCAAGCATGTATCTTGCCTATTCTGTAGGAACTCTATTCCAGAGACAATTTAAAGAAGAATTCCAAATAACAAATGCAGTAGGAATGATAAAACTAGAAAGTTGTTATTTGGCAATTTCTAATGGAATAATGGATTTAAGCAACAATTGTCAGCAAATGCTAAAACCATTAGGGGAAAATTTGGGGAACTTTATAATGGAAGGACCAGGCTGACACTTGAACCCAAGCAATCTTAGTATCACTAAAAGCAGGTCAGCCAGCTTGAAGTGCTCATGAGGTGATGAAGTAAGCACACAGCACCACCAATGAAGGAGTCTTCCCTAAAAAATGAACCTGAACCTAAACAATCTTTTAGGTCTAACCACTGAGTTTCAGGAAATGTGGAGAATGAAGGAATAAGCTAAATGACACCCAAATACAGAATGCAAAATTCTACAGCACCAGTGATTCTGTTTCTCTAACAAATCGTTTTTTTTTTAAAAGCATGGAGGGTGGGGAGGAGCACTGTTTATTATTATCTTATTTCTTAAAAGAGACTGCAAAGCATCCAAATACTATATGTGGCCTGGTTTGGACCCTGATTTGAATATGCCAAATATAAAAAGACAGTTTTGAAACAGGGAAATATGAATTTGTAGAGTATTAGATATTAAGGAGTGAGTTATTAATTTTGTTAAGTGTGATAAGGATGTGGTGGGTATGTTTTATTAAAAACATAAATTAGATAAGATAGATTCTGGGATATTTGTTGGTAATATGTCATTAAGTATGGATTAATTCTCAAATATTCCAGGGAGAAAAAAAAACAGAATAAAAAAATAGGTTTGGCACAGTCATTATCAAGAATGAATGATGAATCCATGAGAGTTAATTATACCAGTCTCTACTTTTGTGTACATTTTTAATTTTTCATAATAAAACATTTAAAAATACCTGCATCTATCATCCTGAAACAAAAGTTGAAGATCCTTTTGAAATACCATTATCCTATAAAAGAAGCCAGAGTTCCTTGAGAAGGGCTGGGCAGGGAAAATACTAGATAAGACCAGAATATCTTGTTGTGCTAAATGATAAGGAAGCACTAAAAAAAAA